ATTATGACATAAAAAAAAAATAGATCTCGTTGTAACCTTAGCACTCTGTAAGTCGACTTAACATAGGGTTGCATGTATTTTGTGGTCCCAAAACATCTACTATCAGCTTAGAAATCCAGGAAAAACCCATTTTTTTTAAATCCAGGTGTGTGTGACTTACAGGGTTTGAGGCTTTCACTCCCATTTGTTCTCAATGCACTCAGTGCTTCAGTCTGCGTGGAATCTGTGGAAATTTAGAGTTTAAATGCTAATGTCACCAAAGGCAGGCAGCACATAACTCTCATGAGAATAAGATCATGAAACTAGCTGTGAAATTAGGACCTGCTGCTGGTAAAAAAAAGTCGTCTGATTTTTTTTCCCCCCAAAAGGTTTGCCTCAAGAATGCAATGTGACCAAATCACAGAACGACAAATCTTACAAATTTTACTAATTTTGTCACACAATTTCAATTATACCTATCATGCTTTCATATTATGTTAAATCATATTATTAGATGGTGGGCACGGTGGTACAATGACTAACACTGCCGCCTCACAGCAAGAAGAAGGTTTCAGATTTGAACCTTATGGTTGACCTCTGCATTTCTGTGTAGATGTTCTCTCTGTACCTCTGTGGGTTCTCTCCAGGTACTCCGGCTTCCTCCCATAGTCCAAAGACATGCAGTTTAGGTTGACTGGCTGTAGTTTTGAATGTGATTAGGTGTCAGCCCAGTGATAGACTGAAGACCTGTCCAAGGTGTACAACCCAAACGTGACTGGGATTGGCTCCAGCACCCCCATGACCCTTTACAGGATCAGTTGTGTAGATAATGGATGGAGGATATCCAACCATTCAGTTACCATAATCATAGCAGCTAAAGCACAGAGAAAGTCTTGCTATCGAGCTGAGAAATGTAAAAACAGTGTGGACTTGCCGCCACAACATTTCTGTTTTTCTTTCAGCATTGCTGGCCTACTGGCAGAGTTGATCTACTGCCTTACTGGAGGAAATGGGGCATTTTGTTTTTTGCAGTCATCTTTCTTTTCACCATTCAGGATTTACTGTTCCCTAAATGACGGCAATTTACACACAGCGCTGCCTCATATGTCATTCTGTCAAGGTGCGTGTGTGCATGTGCGTTTAGGGTGGGGTCACTGTTCTCTACCACCCCTACTCATGGCTCCCATCTATTCTGCCCAAAAGCTGATGTTCACCCGTTTTGGCCTAAATAAATGCTGTTGTCACCATGGACTGCCATGGAGTGCTGCTGTCAGCCGAGCTGCAGCAGCAATGCATATCTTCACCATTTTGTCAGCAGATAGATGGAACAGTGCTGGGGGTGTATGATGAAGGAAAGGGGTTACAGGATAGAAAGGTATGAGCAACAGGAGTGTGGTGTCCTCATTTGTCAAGTCAGGCCAGTGTGTCAACTGAGGTATAAGGTGAGCATAGATGAAAGGAAATCAGAAAAGAAAAGAGAAAAGGAAATGGAAAGAAAGCAGAGGAATGAACTAAGTATAAGACAAGAAGGGGGAAAGAAAGGAATAAAGGACAAGGAAAGGACAGGAAAAAGGAAACAAGAAGAAAGCAGACAGATGAGGGGAGAGGAAATGAAGGTAAGCAAAGGAAACTAAATGGCAAAAAAGAAAATCAATGGAAACAAAATGTGGAAAGGAAACTAAGGAGAAGGCAAGAAAAGAAAGGAAAGGAAAGGAAACAAAAGGAAAAGGGAGTGGAGTGGAAGGCAAAGGAAAGCAAAAAGGAGGAGGAGATAAGGGAAAGTAGCAGAAAGAAACAAATGGAAGGTAAAGGGAAGGAAAAAAGACAAGTAGAGGAAATCAAAGGACAGTAAAAGGAAGGTGAAATGGAAAGGAAATAAATGACTAGGAAAGGGAAGGAGAAAGAGAAATAGAGAAAAATGGAAAGAAAGGGATGGGAAAGAAAAGAAGCAAAAAAGAAAAGGAAACAAGAGCTTAAGCAACACAAAAAAGGAAATGAATATAAAAGAACATGAAAGGAAAGCAAGGGGAGAGGAAATCTGTGTTCAATTTCATATCAGACAAGGATTCATGCTAAATGCCATGTCACCTCAAGGTAGTAAGTGGCATTTGCTTTTCTTTTGTTAAATAATTCTTTGACACACACTGTTTCTCTCTTTCTCAGTTTTGTAGACACACACACATACACACTGCGTAGTCCCCTTTCCTCTCACTGGCTTTTCACTGTGGTTTGTTACCATGGAGAAGCACATTTTTATAGGCAGGAGGAGGTTGACATTATTACATGACAGAGATGGCACTGCTTATTTTTCACACACACACACACACACACACCCACGCCACACTCTTCTAGGCAAGGATTTAGAAATGTCCTACATATACAGTATGTACAACAAATACCCACAGAAACATTCTTACAGTCCGCTCCACATGACGTGAGGCGGCTGAGATGAACCCGAGGTGATACCAGAGTGGACTGCCTCTGAACGGAGGGAGGTTATTGGTTGGCTTAGCCGAGTAGCTGACATTATGCTCTCTAGTTCACCAGGCACCTTCCATCACTCCATTAAGTTCTGGAAGTTGCTTGAATACTTTTTTAAAAAGCTTTGTTTTATGTGATTGTAAACATGACTACACATTTAACAAGCATGAATACATTTCTTTATACAATATGATTTATAACTCCCATAGTGTGTTCTTCTATATGATACTCTCATTCAAGGATCAGCCTTGTGAGTTAGAGCATTTACTTTCATTGGCAAACAACCCATAAATATTCAGCTACTGACTGAACCTTGAGTACATCAGTTGTGATCTAAAGACCCTGGCTGCAGACAAGATGGTGAACTGCCGACCTTGACAGGAAAAGTTGATATTAGCCAGATGTTGTAAACCTTGGCAGGTTTACAGGTACTGTAGACTCAGGCTTAGTAGGGGTTAGGGGTTAAATTAAAGTTAATTCTTTACCATAACCCAATTTACCAAAATAGTTGCCAGCTTCCGGCTGTGGGGAATACACACATGTTGCATACGCATATCACCTATTTCCCTGCATGCTGGGATGCACAGTTTGTCCTGTAAAATAAACATTGCTCTCTTCTCTGAGCTTATTACAATCAACAGTCTGGGTTTGAATGCATTTGCTCCCCTCTTGGCCAGGTCACGCTTGAAAAAAACATGTTCATCATAATGAGACTTTAGCTGGTTAAATAAAGGATAAATTAAAAAAAAAGTCATTCAACTTCAGAATGTCTTGAAATTGGATAATTTTGAATTCTTAGTATGATTATTCATTTTTCATCACCTGGCAATGCAGCTGAGTTTGCAGATGTGGTGTCAAACCACATGCTGATGTACAAGAAGATGACGTAAAAACGTGTATTAATATTTAAATCAGGAATCTGACCAGATAGCTATTCAATGCCAACTTTAACAGTATCTGATGCTCAGTCCTATGGACATGTTTTAATTGGTACCAATAAGGCAGGCCTACTGAGAATTGATACCAGCCCTACACAATATTATTTGAGTTTCATTTATGTTTCCCTACTGAAAATTAAACTGTAAAATCTTAAAATATTTGCATTAAATGCCAAAGAGGGTTATGTAGAAAAACGTTTATAACAAAATCAAAAATTTCATCGGTCTAGATCTAGGTTGTCACAGTAAAGTTTAAAATGTTTAATAGGAATCAAGATGTGAAGAATGGTTTGATGGTTTTGGCTGAAATTACAGGGGTACAAGCTCTATATAAGGTAGCTTAGTTTATCTCATTGTGCAGGGGGAAAGATATGAGAAGGGGATTCCAACATTAATCTCAAACCTGTGTTCAAAGTGATGATGAAGGAGGGGGGGAGTCTGAAGGTTAGAAATTGTGAGCTTGTCAGCTGATGGTGAGTTGAGTAATAGTGATGAACTGAAAGGATTACCAGCCACTGCTAATCTGTGGCCGTTTAGCTGAGGTAAAGAGGTGGAAAAAAGAAAGAGAGAAGGACCATGTAGTGTGAGGCGGGGTAGCTGCCCGGCAGCTGTGGGCCGTGTGGGCTGCTGATTTACTTTAGATTAGTCTGGACATGCGCCAACTAGGTTTCAGTCGCTCCATGATGAATGTGCTTCAACGCGCTGAAGGCCTACCCCTAATCTGACTGCAACAGTCCATCCCACTGTCTGTCAAGGTGTAACATTTTGGGATTTTCAGAGGCGTTTTGTTTTTATGTAGTGGAATACAAGGGACAACTGTGTTCTCTCTTTGCTTTGTATTAATCCTCTGGAAAACAAACTGCTGGGATTCTAAAGGCGGCGCAAGATAAATCCTGTTTTTGTGCTGTGGAAGTGAGGTGATATCAGTAACTATGGCTACATGTGAGTATTTGATGTTGGAAAATCACATTTTGTTATGGCTACTGTACATCTCAGTCATCAATCCTACTTTGTGATAGGACATTTCAAACGGTAGAATTGTAGAGGCTAAATCACAGTAGATCATGTGCAAAGATTATGCACTGACATTACTCTTTCTAATTTGGGATCAACACAACATACGTATATACAGTATGTGCACAGTACCATGCCATCTAGAGTTCAGTGATCACAATGAATATGTTGAAAATTAAAACATAGTCTAAGTGCCCCTTAATATTTGAGTAGTTGTAGCAAAGGAAGGAAGGAGGGAAAAGTGAGTGGGGCAGATACCAAGATGTTGTAAGATTAGTTCTTTTTGTAAATATGACCTACCACCATACAGCCTACCCTATGTGAACCAAAAGATAAGTGTTTGTGAAAGGTGAAAGACATGCCAGTTCTTTTTAATGTATAAGAGAAACTGCAGCTGCTTACATAAAATTAACACTGCTACATATGTTTGGCTTTTATGTTTAGGCCGTATATTTGATAAAACAGATGTGTTGTGTAAACCATGCAGATTTTGTGTCACAGGCATACCTAACCATTTTTTATTTAATGTTCTTCTCTAATGCTGCTGAAGTGAGCTTGCAAACACTTCTGTCCTTTCAACCCCTGTAGGTGATGTGGGTTTGCAACCTGTGCCGTAAGCAGCAAGAGATTCTCACCAAATCAGGAGAATGGTTTTCGGGGTCAGGGGTGCGGCCTGGGGGCCTGAGCACCTCCTTGAACGACCCAGCCATGAAAGGTGAGGACCAGCGGGACAGGAAGCTGCTCCGCTCCAGGTCTCAAGCCCCGCCATCCACCACCAATACCAACGCTGGGCTGGACGGGACACAGCCACCCACCGGTGTCACTGGTGCCAAGGGTGCTGACACCATGCCTGGATCTCGGTCCCAAAGTGAACCACCTAGAGAAAAGTATGGCAGCAAACGACACACACTGAACACAACCTCTGTGGTTTTATTTTTTATACTGCAGTAGCTGTCATAGGAGGATGTTTTATTTAACAGCCACAAGCTGGAAATGTTGGCTTTGGACAATTTTTTATAGTATATATTTGCTGAAGATCATGTTGTTTTTAATCCCTGGGGTAAAACAAGAGTAGATCTGTGTTGGTTTAACCAGTGGAGAATCAAGGTCACAGGTTGTAGTCCTGAGAGGTCTTTGATTCAGTGCCTTCGTTTTCATTTGGTGGCTGAGTGACGTAAGACTTCATCACTGTCTCATCTTGGTTAGTAGAATTTTCAGTTTGTTTGGTTAAAATTGAGTAAACCATGGTTTTACAAATATAGAAAGGCAAGTTTTTAGCAGGGAATATTTTTATATCTATATAAAAAAAACTCCATCTCAGCATTTTCTCCTTTTACAAATGCAATGATGCACCTGTGTTTATGTCTGTTTCTGTACAGCATATGGTACATAATGTGTCCTCTTCTCATCCAGGAAAAGACCAGTTTCTCTCCATGAACAAAATGTTAAGAGAGGCACTGGACGCGGACGTGGCCGGAGGCCTGCTGGGAAGTTATCATCTCAGTTATCCCTGGATGAGCGTATGGCCCCTGGAGAGAGAGGAGAAAGGCGGCTGGGAGATGGACGCAGGCTGGAGAAGATCCATTCTCAGGAGTACGAGGATGGAGAGGATAATTTTGGTCATTCAGAAATACACCGGAGACAGCCAGAGGATGAGGAGCAGAGGGAGCAGCAGCGTCGTGAGGAGGAGTTTCAGAATCGCTATCGTAGTGATCCCAACCTGGCAAGGTACCCGGTGAAACCACAGAAGGAGGAGCAGGAAATGCGTATGCATGCTAAGGTGTCTAAGGTACGCCACGAACGCCGACACAGTGATCTGGCGATCAATGAAGTTGGACTGGGGCCTGGTGAAGGAGGAGGTGGGGGAGGCAGTGCAAGGGAGGTGCCTGAAAACCGTCTGGCCAGGAGGGGTGGAGGTGGGGAGGGAGACCGCAAGGCCGTCTTGGAGAACCACCGAGCCTACTCTGTGGATAGGACCGTGGGGGTCGGAGGGGGAGCTCCATCTGCTGGAGGTGGAGTGAGATCAGGGCCCCAGCCTGGGGAAACAGTTCCTCCGGACTGGGGCCCAAACAAGGGCCGCCTAGAGTCTGGTACAACATGGACACCAAGAGACAAAGGTGGGGATAAACTGCTCAGGAAGGACTCTCAGAGCTCAGACCAGTCGGAATCTCTGCGGCCGCCCCCTCCACGGTCCTACAAGAGCAAGCGCGGAGTCAACAAGAGGCAGATGTCCATCAGCAGCTCAGAGGAGGAGGGTGGCTCCACGCCTGAGTACACCAGTTGTGAGGATGTGGACATGGAAAGCGTCAGCGAGAAAGGTCAGTCAGACCGATGGGCTCACTCACAGCTTACTAAGCTAAATCTGTCCAAACTTGCAAACCTTGCACTGTTTGCTGTCATTCATGTCTTGCATTGCTTATTGATATTGTAGCTTGCATTAGACACTGTTTCATATAGATGTTTGCTCTTTTTTGACTCACCGAAAGTTGGTCATGAGCAGTTCTCACCTATCTCACATGTTCAGCCTTACTGTCCACATGGGATCCTCACTTTGTCTACCTGAATCAAGAGATACTTACTTCGGTTTGATCACGTCACTTATTGCATTCAGGTCATTGTCAAAAACACGTCCAGACTCTTCCTGTAGCACCTAGTACACTGCCAAATATAAATGTACTGAACCAGAATCGTACAGTATTGGTGATGGGTCTGGTGGTCTGATTGCAACCTGGCCTGCAGCTAATAGTGATTGTGATTGAATGATTGAACAAGTGATCAGAAAGAATATTTTAATTCAGGTAGGAGATGGATGTAAAGATCTGGTTATCCTAACATGAATAGGTAAAAGAGCAATGCCATAATAAAGTCCCTCTCACTTCAATGTCTTCATGGCCATGTTTTCCTAGTCCCAGCTTCTAAAATAGATTTGGTAGTAGAATTATAAAAATGCAAAAAAGCAAGAGATATTGTAGCTTGTACGATTATTCTAATATCAACACACTCTAAACTTGTACAATAAATGATAGGAAGAAGCACCCACCCAGCACAGCGTGTATTAGTCAAGTCAAAGTCAAGTCACTGTGTTTATTTGTCATATGCACAGTTAGGAAATGTGTTTCCTTGTACAATGAAATTCTTACTTTGCTGTCCACATAATGCTACACAATGCAAGTGAAATATAAAGTAGATGAGCAATAACACAAATCTAAATAGACAGTAACACAAATCAAAAGCACTTTAAAGCAGCAAGTGAAGGAAGCAAATAAAAATACAACTAGATTGTACAGGCATTAGTACAACAAGTATTACTATCCCTGTGTGTCATCTCTACCTCTGTGCTTTGCTAAACCCTCTCTCAGGACAACTCTCATTTATTTGGATAGTCCATGTGATTTAGGCCTGCAGATTTGTGGAAATAGGTCAGTGGCTCGCTTGCTACGTAATTTTTCACAGCACTAGCCAACCACAGACCACTGACTACAATCAAGCCTGGCTGCGGTTGCATGCTGCTGGATTCTTGATACTTCCCGCAGAAGTAGCAGAAGCCATGCTAGGCTGTGCTAAAATAAGCCATGTGAGAGTGTTTGTGTTTAAGAGGCAGTAGCTGGAGTTAACTGAGCTTTATCGCCTTATCTCTGTCACCAGTCACAGAAGGGGCCTGCTCCAGATGTTTTAATCCAGATTACTATAAATCAGGAACTGATAATGGGTAGATGGTGTGGATTTAGATTATTAGCTGTTTTAAACACTCTTTAGATAGCTGGGCCTCAAAACAGGATGTCTTCTTTACTCTCATCAGAGGCATAAAATTTTGCAAGATGAAGTAATGTAGAGTATGTATCCCTACATAGATGTATTGCAGTAGGTTAACTAAGATGGCTAAAGTACAGTAACATAGGGTCATGTAGTTTTTTCTTCTTTTTTCTTTTTTACAAATGTCATTTTTGGAACCGCATGTTATATGTTTGCAGTTGAAGTGTAAGGGTCTAACTAGCTTTGTACTTCAGTAAGGCTGAAACCTTCCTCAAGTTAATACATAAAACAACTGGTTTTGTTCTATTGTATGTCACAGCAGACAAAGACCTGGTAGGAGGACAAACACATCATTCAAACATACAGGGGAAGGAAACAAACACACATTAGAGAGAGAGAGAAAGGACAAAGGGACTGAACAAATGAATAGGAAATGAACAAATTGAGGGGGAGAGGAACAGGTAGGAAGCCGGGACTCCTGAAGGATGCCAGAGAGAGAGGTCCCCGTCCACAGAGAACCTGAGTGACAGAGGGACACGTGTGCTCAAGGAAAAAGGTTTGCAGCTCCTTGGCAGGACAGTGTAGACTATACTGTACATAACTAGGTTTAATAGATACACTGAAACAGAAACCTACCAGCAGTAGCAAATACAAGGCAATAAATACTCAAGAAAGTTATGGTGTAAAGATGAGTGTTAAGGTTGGATTCTGCCAGGTGAGATTGTCTGATTTCAACAAGGAGATTATTCCAGATGAAAGGGGCACAATAGGGAAAGCCCCTGCAGCCTTCTTTTTTAGCTCCGGGGTCAGACAGGAGCCCTGCATTTTGGGAGCAGAGAGCACAGGGTGGAATATATGTTTTAAAGGAGATTGACAGGTTTGAAGGGGTGTGCTTCTTTGGGATGTTATTAGAAGTATACCTTAAAGTCTGACCTGACATGGATAGGGAGCCAATGGAGGGAAGCTAAAATCAGTTTTATGTGGTCAGATTTTCTAGATTCAGTAAAAGAGATTGTAGCTGCAGCATTCTGAAGACATTTAGTACAACTATATGACAGACCTGAGAATAAAATTGTGCAATTGTTAAGTTTAGATGACACAAAGCATGAGTTCAGGTCTCAGCATCTTCCAAGGACCAAAAAGACCAAATTCTAGTTATGTTTCAAAGGTGAAAAAAGCCAGTCTCAGTGATGTCTTTAAAGTGCTAGTTAAAAGATAGCATAGCATCAAATGTAACACCAAGATGTCAGACTTTGAGAAATCCCACAGTTGTTGAGAGTTAATGTTAATTGGTGTCTGTGTCACGCCGGTCCAGCATCTCAGTTTTATCTGAATTTAGGAGCAGGAAAATGTGTGATATCCAGTTTTTCACAGCAGATAAACAAGCCCCTAATTTTCGAGTTTATGAAGGATCAGCTGCTTTTACAGGCTCAGGCAGGCATAACGCAGTAAATGAACCATATTAGCTCTATTAATCAGTTGTGTTTCTTCTCCAAATGTCTGTCCAACAAGTAAACACAAGCTTTATTAGTCTTAAGGTATAAATCAGGTAGCTGAGATTTCACACACAATATCCTGGACTGTTTGCACAGTTGAATGGATTGTAATTACTGATTTAGTGACATTATATCACCTATTGGCTCATCTCCCATTTGTGATCATCATAAAGTAATTACAATTAAACAGCCCAGTCATATTTACAGTGGGGTATTCACTTAAGTTGTAGCAACTTACTGTAAAAGAGGGATATTACCTAACATAATGAAGAGTCTGAACTGTAGCTGTAAAACAGGCTACATTTGACAAGCAAAAAAAAAAGTTGTAAAATAAATGGATTTAATGTAAAACACAACAAGGAAGCAATGTTTTCACACTGCTGGGATTACAAGCCTTGGTTTATTTCAAACACTCATTTCAGAGCAGACATGATGTAGCCTATAAAAGGACTTTGTTATGTCATTTTCATGCTTGAGCAGCTGATTACATGTTCCAGTAACTCTCTTAGGAGGATTATCATATACAGTGTTTACATGGTGGTTTCCCAGTCTGCCCAATAAATTGTATTTCACCGGATTTTCCACTGCATACCTTAAACTGAAGCTTTAATGACACAGCAGCTTTAACTCAGTGTTTGAGGGAAAATGGAAGCAGGGAGTGATTGAGTGTAATTGGGTTACTTCATGTAAAGACATAACACCAAAGTGATAATGGTGTTGATGAAATGGAAGAGGAAGTCTTCTGGTAGGACAGCACTGGTCCCAGTACTGTTGTGTGTGTGTGTGTGTGTGAGAGAGAGAGAGAGAATTTGTTGGCCAATGCAGTTCTCTTCTTCTTCCTCTAATCCATCTCCCTACACCCTTACACTTTGCTCCCCTGTCTTGCGCTCCACACATGAGCAGAACGTGTTCATGTGTGCAGATTGTATATGAACAGAAGCACATCCATGATCAGCGTCCACGTCCGTCCAAGGGGAAATGGAAACCACAAAACGTGTTGCTTTGAGCTTGGAGTCACCTCAGATAAATGAAGGCCAGTCGATGAGCATGTCAAGATTTTATCAAAATGATCTTGTATTTTGTTAGCATCGTTAGCTAGTATAGTCAAAACATCTGGTTTAATTGATTAGTTTGAGTTGAATTAACCACATCTCATTGAACTGAATGAGTGAATAAATGTGTTGTGCACATAAATGACACCATCCATGTAAAAAACTAACTCAGGACATGCTGTTATTTACAGTAGGCGTAGTCCATTGAGGCCATTGGTAGTCCTCCACCACTCACAGGTTGACACAGGTTAATGGGGATTCAAGATCATGTGATGTGTACATGCCTCTAGAAGCTGAGGGACAAATTTAGTCAAGTTTATGTGGCTGCATTTAGTGAAACAGCAGATGGAGCGGGAGAGGAGCTATGACGCACACACACCTGCAAAGAGCTGCTGCTAATGTAGCATCAGTTAATAGGGTAGCTCAGTTTTTATAATATGTTCAGTGTGTTCATCCTCCAAAACACAAAAGGCTTACTCAGCAGTTTAAAACCGTTTACTCAGCATTTATCCTCTCAAGCATCCTCAGTGGACTTTCAAATTTCAGACTAGGAGCACTGGAATCGAGTCTACTGAGATGTTTTTCTCATTTTCACTATCTCCATCACACCTGCTCACACTGGCTGCGCTGTCATTTTCCGCTTGGTTCCCCCTGTGACAGGGACAGCTATTTATCACCTTAAAAATACTCCCAAAATCAGTGGTTTCTTATCTCAAGCTGATTCTGGAAAATTGGTCCTTGCTTTCATCTCTTGCAGACCGTATGACTGCAATGCTCTTTTTGCAGGTCTACTAAAAGAGACAATCTCTGGACTACAGCTCGTTCCAAATGCTGCAGCCAGAGAGCTCATAACCCACAGAAATGATCTCCCTGGTTCTTAAACCTTTTCATTGGCTTCCCATACAATACAGAATCAATTTTAAGATTCTGTTGCTGGTCTATAAAGCTTTCAATGGGTTGTCTCCCCAGTATGTTACTGAGTTGCTCACTGATTACAGTCCATGTACTGCCCTCAGGTCATCTAGTAGTTTCTTAACTGTGCCCAGAGTAAGGTCAGGCTCCCCAGAAGGGACATTCAGATGACATGCGATCAGTCACCATCATCTCCACATTTAAAAAGAAGCTTAAAACTTTTTTCTTTTGCCAATGAATTATTTAAAATGTTTTTCTTGTGTAAAACATGTAGCTGGTTTTGTCTTACTTTTTGATGTATTTATTTATTTTTCCTGTAGGATTCCTGTGATCCTACCTGTATTTTTAATGGGAGGCACCTTGTTTTGCCACTGTGTATAAAAGGTGCTGTATAAATAGAACTGATTTAACTTCATTTGACTCTGAATATTGCTGCAAACCTTTCTGACAAACAGCCGTGAATGTTTTGCCAGTAACTTGAGTTGAATCATTGTCTTCACTCTGTTCACTTACCTTGATACTGAAGGTCTTCTGAGATCTTTTAAATCTCTATCTGATCTCATCTTACTGTTGTTGCTAGGTTTTTTCCCCTGTGATGGAAACGTGGCCATGAAACTCTCAGGCTGCTCCGGTCTGATGCTAGTCCAGTTAGCTCCTCTACACTCACCCACCATCTGTCAGTGTTAATGGAGATGGGGATACGTTGACAGCCACTGGTGTCAGAGGCCAGATTCTGGCCAGGGTTTTGGACAGTGGAGCAGAGTGAATAAGTTTGATCGTGAATGAAGTTTTTAGCTCCTTTTATTTAACATACATGTTCCAAACTATCATGACATATTAAATTCCAAATTGATTTTTCTGATTTACAACCATCATTCTTATGCATTTATGCATTTAGTACTTTGTTGTTCTACACCTTGCTTTCCCCCACTTATCTTTTTTTTTGTCATTCATTGTTTGTTAATTTACTTGGTCAGTCATGGAGTCAACAAACAAAAAGTACATGATTTGGAAAAAAGTAAAATACAAAAATAGAGGAAAATGATACAAGTAATTGAATAAAGTAAAGTAACTAAATAAAAGAATAAAATAAATAAATAAGGAAAATTTTAAAAGTCATTCACATTGATGAAACTAAAGATATGAAATGAAAGACTTTATTATTGTATGCACACAATGGTACAAACAATGAAATGGAGTTAGCTGCTCATAAAAAAAGAGCAATTAAAAAGAAATAAAAAGTATTTTCCAATCACCGTTTAATGTTCCTGTGGGCCAGCAGTGGGTGGTGCATTTAATGTAGGAGTTTATGAAACATAAAGTCCAGTAGACAGTTGAGCAAGCATTTTAGTGTCGACGTTTGTGGAGCTATCCAGCACTGAGCAAGAAGTTTCCTGGCCCTGATGGATCATTAAGGAGACAAAGGGCTGAATCTACTGTAAAATTCTCTGTTCACATGGTGCAAATGGAGTGTACAATGTCCTTCCAAATGAAGGCTACTGGAGGGCAATCCCATACCATGCTTATGAGGGGGCCCAGTGTTTATCATAAGTATATCTATCATGAAGACAGGAAGATAATGCCATTAGATGTCTTTCACAAGATGTCATATGACAAACCCTAAAACAAATCCACTGGGGTTTTGTGAAGCCCTGACAGCACTATCTCAAATCCAGTCTTTCTTTTATTTATTAAGACCCTTATCTTTCTCCTGGTTTTATATACTGTATCTTGAGATTGTATATAAACTGTATTTCTACTGGTCAAGTAACTGATTTCTTTCTCCCTGCAGGTGATTGGGACTGTCATCCTCTAGATCCCGCAGTGTGGCATGTAAGCTTTTGCAAAATTCGACACATTCATAGTTTTAATGTGCCACTGTTCTGACCACGTAACTGACATGCCCCTACATGTACTCCTCACATACAGACAGACACATGCAAATGCACTTAAATAAAATAAGGTCACCACATATGTATATATACACATACAGCCACACAAACACTTAATCAAAAGAAAGCATTTAGTTGTTTATTAAAGCCTACTCATCAGAACACAACTAGAGAAACTGAATCAAACATTACCATTATTATCCCTCGCCCACCTCATCTCTGTCCTTTTTTCCTTCTTTCTCTCCTTCTCCTTTCCCCATCTCTACATTTCCATTATTATTCTTTCCCACAAAACCCAATTACAATATAATTCCCATAATACATCATAACTTTCCATATTAACGTGCTTGTCTTATGTCCTCCCTTTTACCTCTCGGCCTCTTAGCATCCAGTTTCATGGCAGCCGTCAAAAGAAGGTGACCACCTGATTGGACGCATCACACTAAGCAAGAGGTCAGCCATGCCTCGTGAAGCGGGCTCCCTCCTTGGCCTAAAAGTAAGCTGGAAATCAGTCTTCATTCATCATTTGGTGTTTGTTTTAGACTTGGTTACCAGATGAGGGGAGCTCACAGAGAAAACAGACACTGTTAGCAGTTTTTCAAACCAGAAATAGTAATGCTTTATAAAGCCTGCGAAAGCACAAAAGGCATTGCGTGTCCCCAGATGCACTTACTCTTTTTTTAAATTTGTTCTCCTTTCAGGTAGTGGGAGGGAAAATGACACAGACAGGCAGACTTGGGGCATTTATTACCAAAGTCAAAAAGGGCAGCCTGGCAGATGTTGTGGGCCATCTACGAGCAGGTGAGATTCCACTGAATGAATCATGCTCTATACTGAGAAGCTGATTTCAAAAATTTAGAAATGTGTCTATATATACTTGGTGTTTGGTTTTGACTATTTACTTCCTTGGTAAAAACTTTAATATACCATAAAGAAGAAATTTAAGCTTGAGTTACTGCAGATGTAGTGATGGCATCGCTCACATTAGAAGTCTCATGCTCGTGGTGTCGAATGAGACTGTTGGTACTGATGATTGTACGATGAGGCTGGGAACTAAAAATATTTTGTGCTATCAGTGAAACTCCAGTGATCACACAGGCAGTTAACTGTCATGGGGTGGCCACCACTGTCAGTAGTGATTTGAGCACTGCCAACAATACTCTGTGCCATTTTTTGAATAATGTAGTAAGCACTGAGGTTTACAGGACTACCTGTTGCAGTGAGTTATGACAGTCAGGTAATTTAATATCACCACATTTAGACCCATAAAAGAGACATGTTAGCTAATGCTTACAAGTGAATGGCTCCTGAGTTAAGCCAGTAAGCATAGCTTGCTAGCTTCCACACTCCACACTTAACAACCTGATGGGTCTTTACAAATACTGAATAGTTTAAAGACCAGATGGCTTAAATTACTTTCAAGTGACAGCCAATGCTGCATGGTCTGACACAGTATGGCATTCTTCAAACAGAAGTGCACAGTTAATACAGTACCAATGTCAGCTTTGAGAGCCACTGCAAAAGGAAACACCTACTGAGGCTTGAAGCTTAGGAGCTATTAGTTGAAACAAATACACTACGCCCAAAAAATGTTGTATTTACATTTCACTTCTCTGTTAACACCTGCTTCACTCTTCTGGCTCTTCACTTGTCCAGGTGATGAGGTGCTACAGTGGAATGGGAAGTCATTGCCGGGAGCAACCAAGAAAGAGGTGTACAACATTATCCTTGAATCCAAGTCTCAACCTCAAGTGGAAATAGTTGTTTCAAGACCTATAGGGTGAGATAAATGCTATTATATGTAACAATTGTTATTAAAGTACCTGAGTGATGGCATTAACTTTTTTCTGACAGACACTTTTGATATGTCTCCCTCCTTTATCTAAAAGCTCTATCCTCCAAATTATGTCCAAAACCTTCTTCAGAAAAGTGTATAGAGCTTATCAGTAAGTAGAGCTGATTTAAAAGGCAGAGCCCCTTCTCCTGATGGCTTCCCTGAAATTCTTCAGAACCAAGAGAAAATCCCTTTTTATAGCTGTCCCTATCACCTCTACTACCCGCCATGGTTAATACAGTATGTAAATGTTTATTTCAGTGCTTCCTCTTCTTCTGCTATGAAACTTTTTGTTGCCATGAGTCTTTTACACATCCATTTTTAAAGATGAGTGTACACTTTTGTCCTGACAGTCCTGCCACTGCAAATATCTTATATCCTGTAACTCTGAATTCACTGACCTTCTTTGGTATTCTACAGAGACATCCCAAGAATCCCAGAGTCATCCCACCCTCCTTTAGAATCTAGTAAGTGTAAATATGGGCACATTTATTGGCCACGTATATTATTTTCAGTGTTTAGGACTTATGTATTTAAATACACTCTATGCACTTGAAACTGCTCTAATTTTATATCTGTACGTTGACTGAACTTTTGTCTGTGGTTTGTTAAGGGAACTGTTGTTATGTGCCGTTCGCACCTGTCAGTGAGCGAACGAGAAAGAGGCAAACCCAGGTAGCCGACTTCGATGCAAGCAGTGATTTATTATGTACAGTGATGATGAGAGTAAAAATACACAGAGGGAAATAGTGCAGAGGGCCGGCCCTGGTCTCGTCCCAAATTTGGTGGCAGCGAGTGATATGGGCGTGGAGTGAGGGAACGGCGATGTCGGTTTCCGCGGCAGACAGAAGAGGTGGTTGGTAGCCAAGGGAGGCCTGAAAGGGCGAGATACCGGTGGCAGAACAGGTGAGGGTGTTGTGGGCGTATTCTACCCAAGGCAACAGCAGACTCCAGTTTTCAGATGTGGAAATGGAGACACAGCGGAGTGCGTTTTCCAGCTCCTGGTTCAACCGTTCAGCTTGACCATTTGTTTGGGGGTGATAACCTGAGGAAAGACAGGGGCGAGCACCACTGGCTGTGCAGAAGGCTGACCAGACGTGTGAGGTGAACTGTGGACCATGGTCAGAAACAATGGTGAGGGGAGTGCCGTGGATGCGAAAAACGTGTTGAACCAGGAGCTGGGCTGTTTCGAGAGCAGTGGGCAGCTGAGGAAGGGCAAGAAAATGAACAGCCTTGGAGAAATGGTCAACTATGGTGAGAATGACTGCGTTGCCCGCACTTTTGGCCGCACCGGACAGGCCGGGATGAGATGGTCTGGGGCCCCGGGCCCCACAGTAGAGGCAAGCCCCGGAGCGGATACGGCGGGCCCGTTCTTCAGGGGTCAGACGAGCGTGCCCTAATTCCGTGGGTTTATCCGTAGGTCTCTGGAAGGATGTGTCGGTTCCCCCCATACGGGATGGGGCCCGGACCTCAGCAGGTCGTGCAGATGCAGAACGGGTCAGTGTGGTCGGCTGCTGCCCTGCTCTTTCCTTTCGGAAAGAGCACTGCCGTTTGTCAATCATGATAGCCAAGTTGACTAGGGAGCTTAATGTTGTCGTTAAGGCCGTGTCAGAAGCCCGCACGCAATGGGCGGTCCTCCCAGCTGGCCTCCGTGGCTAACACCCTGAAATCGATGGAATAGTCAATGGCACGGCGAGCCCCTTGGCGTATTGTCATGAGCTCCCTAGAAGCTTGGCTGTGATGTGAAGCTGGCGAAAAAACTGACCTGAGTTCATCCATGAATTCTGAGATGGAGGTGCTGATGAAGAGTCTTTGTGAGTCTGCAGCCTCGGCCCAGAGCAGTGCTTTCCCTCAGAGACGGTTAATGATGTAGCTGATTTTCTCTCTGTCAGTGATGTAGGTCCGGGGCTGGTGGTGATGTGTCTGATTTGCTCTCTGTCACTGATGTAGGTCCGGGGCTGGTGGTCAAACACCTGGCAGCACTGCAGCAAAAAACCCTGACAACTCTTGACGTTTCCGACGAAAGTGTTGGGCTCAGGTATGTGTGGGTCTCTGCGGGGACTGGCAGCACAGGTGGCGGAGCGTGGAGCCTGGGAACATGTAGCAGAGGAACCATGTGGAGGGGATAGAATGTCAGAGGGTTGTG